CCAAAATTCCATTGGCTTTTAAGATGCTGCATCACTTTGCTGCTTCATGTTCAACTTGTCTGCTAAGACTTCAAGATCTTTTTCACATGTTCTTTTTGTTTTATTTCTCTTTAAATGACAATAGTGAGTATTCAAAAAATTCTTCTAAAAGCATAGGCTATGCATGTCTTTTCTTCTTTTTTGGTATTACAGATTGGCCATCTGTGATGTCCAGACACCAAATTAATCCAGGTGTTGCCTATCACTGATTAAAATTTATCCAAGTAAAATGACTGTAGGCTTATCTGCATGTTACAGTAAGCTATGGATTACTGTCTTTTTAAGGGATTGCCAGGTCCTCGTGACAACCTTTCAAATATCTGCTGTAGATTTTATTCTTTATGTGAATTTGACTAGAGCTTGGAAAATTACAGTGATGAATCTTAATAAGTAGCTAGTTGCCTTTAAAGTTCAGAATTTTAGCTCTTTATTTTCCTATTTCTCTAAATCAAATCTTTCTTTATTATGGTCATAGACCAGTCTGATAAAAGCACAAAATCATTAAAACCTAAACTAAAAGCTAAAAATAAAATTATATTAAAAAGCTCAAACACAATATACTAACTGAAGGGAAAAAGCTAGAGAGAAAGGAAAAGGGAAGAAAATCTGGAGGGAGGGTTAGGAACATTTAAGGAATATGAGGTGGCATAAGGAGGGAGGGGTACAGTCAGACACAGGTCAATGAGACCAGGGGGAGGAAACATTAAATATATGTATAGTTACAGTTCTCTGATAAGTTAGAATGCTAACTTGTGGTACCAGTCGTCACCTGGCAAATTTTAAGCGCTGCCAAACAGAACTTGGCAACATAGTTTATAACAGAGTTGGTATCTGAGAGCAACAGTGTGGTGTAAAATTGTCCTGAGTGCCCTGGGTGTTTATATAGCAATGGTGAGATGAGACTAGTTTAAGCGTCTCTGTAAAACAGTCACTGGAGGAGCACATGTTTGGTAGTTTCTATGTGTCCAGAGTCACAGGGGCACAGTCTCTCCAGGTAGGGAGTCTTCCGATACTGACCCCTGTGTACAAGTGATGGGAGGGCATGACATCATGCCAGGGTAAAGGCCCTCTGATGGTTGGGTACCTCTAAATTAGTTAAGTATGTCAAAGGGGAGGTGAGGTACCTACTGGAACAATGCATGCAGGTGACAAAAGACTCAAACGAAAGGGAAAAAAGATTGTTTGGTCCATGTCACTGAAAGGTCATATCTGCATAGGTTTGTAAGAACAACTGGAAGAGAAGGACAAGAAAAAGAACTGTCAAGAGGACACAAAATATTATTGTTATTTATCTGGTGCCATTTCATATCTAAGCTAAGCTGATGTCCAACCATGATGGTTCACCTTGACATGCATATGCTCATGCATTGCTGGAGACTGGAAAAAGGGCCAATTTCTTTTTTTATAATGTACACTCTTTTCCAATCTCCAGCTATCTCATTTACTTTAGTTTCACAATCAAGGCAATATGATAATAATAGAATATTATAATATTATATGAAAATAATAATAATAATAATAATAATAATAATAATAATAATAATAATAATAAAATATACATCACACAATCCTAGATGCTTGGGAAGTGTTTAACTTCTGATTTTATGATACAAAATCAAGCATATATATCTCATTTGCTGTGACATATTGTGTTTTTTTGTCAGTAAAATAATAGAAACAAAATAGAAAAACAAAAAAGAAATTAGCCTGCTTGGAAATAGTGATTGAGAAGGAGGAAAGAGGAAGAGGAGGAAAATAATTTCCAATGACACCACATGCCTGCTGGCATAAAAAAACAGAAGTGGAAGGGACTCGTTGCACTGAAGGAAGTAAAGGGAAGGCAGTGGTATGGAAAGCAATTGATGTGTTTTATTCATCAATGAAAAGAGAAAACATAACCTTTCTAAATGCTAAAATAGTGACTCAACAAGAATATACTCTTTGTCTTTGGCTAGTTGCCCCAAAGTTGGACAAGAAATTCCTGGTAGTGTGACTTGCCCAAGGTCACCCAGCCTTTATCTACACTGTAAAATTAATGCAGTTTGACACTAACATTTGAACTGTCATGGTTCAATGTTATGGAACCCAGGAAACTGCAGTTTTACAAGATATTTAGCCTTCTCTGCCGAAGAGAGCTGGTGCCCCAACAAACTACAAACCTCAGGATTCAGTAGCATCGATCCATGGCAGTTCAAGTAGTGTCAAACTGCATTAATTCTACAGTGTAGATGCATACCCCAATGTCTTTCCTGCAAGAAGTTAAATGTTTACTCTAAACACATTTTCACCTAGTTTTCCTGAATGGAAATTAGATTAAAATGAAGGATAGAATATTCCTGTACCACGATGGAGAACTAGAGTACTGCAAGGAGAATGGCTGAGCTGGATGTAGGTGTTTGGCCAACAGTTCATTACCGGCCACACAACAACCCTGTGAGATGCAAGGAGACAGTTCAGTCTGAGTCACAGCCGTGTCTGCTCTGTTCATAAGCTGCTAAGTGGCTCCAGGGAAGTGGCAGCTGTGAGAGCCCAGCTCTTTCTGGAACGGGGGCACCCGACATTGCATGTCTTCGTGGTTAAGTCAATGTTCAGAAGCTCAATGGCTCAAGGCTCATTACTGGCGATCAGCTAAATTTGGATGTGAGGAATGGTCATGAGAAAATAGGAACTTTTATTTCTGCTCGGCAGCTTTCCACCTCCCCCAAGCCCTCCATTGGTTTGTGCTAATTATTTCACCCCTAATGCACTGTGGTCCTTTTGTGTGACTCAACAGGCCTCAACAATAAAATGCACATTCAGATGGTACAAGGTCAGCTAGAGCCAGCCATCTCATCAGATATGTTGCTTACTCAGAATGGATTTTATGCTGGGTTATAAACAGGCTTTCCTACAAAGTCACTCCTTTGGCTAGATTACAGTTGCATTGGCAAAATGCAGGCTGATGTAGTAAATGCTGATAGCTTGGTTGTTAAAGATATTTTTTCCCATATGATATGAAAGCATATCTAACAACCAGCAGGTTTGTTGAAGGGGAAATGATATGGATGCAGATAGTGTGGTGTTGTTCCATCATGTATATAAAAGGTGGAAGAAGAATATGTGTCTACATATGCCTTAACAGCATCTATATATACTGTAATCCCAGTACCCTTCCACACTGCCCCTATATCCCAGGATCTGATCCCAAGATTATCTGTTTATCTCAGGTTTCTGGCAGTGGGGACTCATGTAATCCAGTTTAAAGCAGGTAATCTAGGCCCCCTTCCATACATCTGAATAAAACCCCACATTATCTGAACTGGGATATATGGCAGTGTGGACTCAGATATTCCAATTCAAAGCAGATATCATGGGTTATTCTGCCTTGATATTCTGGGTTACATGGCTGTGTGGTAGGGCCCTGGGATAACTTCCTGGGATAGAGGGTAGTGTGGAAGGGGCCCTAGATGCATGAAGGTAGGTGTTTAAAAGAGATATGTGCATACATCACAAAACTCATGCAGCACTGGAAACTTTCACTTGGTTCAAATTTCTAAACAAGATGACCTAATCCACATTTTCCAGACAAATATGGGGATTGGAATTCAGTTACCCTTTGAGCCTTTAGGATTAATGAACTAGATAAGTGCTATTAAATGTATAAGTTCAGATGTATAGTTTTTTTCTAAAGGGAGCAGGAAAATGAGTTAAAATAAACAGACCCCCAATATGAGGTTTGTAGAATAATTTGAGTAGTTGTGTGTTCAATACATGTTTTTTTCTAAAGGGAGCAGGAAAATGAGTTAAAATAAACAGACCCCCAATATGAGGTTTGTAGAATAATTTGAGTAGTTGTGTGTTCAATACATGTTTAATGTTGTTGTTCATTCGTTCAGTCGTCTCCTACTCTTCGTGACCTCATTGACCAGCCCACGCCAGAGCTCCCTGTCGGCCGTCACCACCCCCAGCTCCTTCAAGGTCAGTCCAGTCACTTCAAGGATGCCATCCATCCATCTTGCCCTTGGTCGGCCCCTCTTCCTTTTGCCTTCCACTTTCCCCAGCATAATTGTCTTCTCTAGGCTTTGCTGTCTCCTCATGATGTGGCCAAAGTACTTCAACTTTGTTTCTAGTATCCTTCCCTCCAATGAGCAGTCAGGCTTTATTTCCTGGAGGATGGACTGGTTGGATCTTCTCGCAGTCCAAGGCACTCTCAGAACTTTCCTCCAACACCACAGTTCAAAAGCATCTATCTTCCTTTGCTCAGCCTTCCCTAAGGTCCAGCTCTCACATCTGTAGGTTACTAATAGTGCTGGCTAATTTTATGTCAGGTGACGGTATTAAGTTTTTTTAAACTTTTTCTCTATTTCTGAATAATTTTTTTTTAAAAAAAAGAATAAAACAATTTGCCTCCAAGAAAGCAACTGTTTGTATTTTATGTTTTTCCTTCTCAAGCCTATTTTGGGAGTCTCTTCAATTTTTTTAAAAAAAAACAAACTGGATATACATATGCACAAAAATGAGCTAGCAATGAGGTTCTAGGATATAAGGAGGAAGCACACACACAAAAGTAAAACAATATCCCCAAATACAAAAACACCAAAATTGTTTCATACATATAGAAATCTAGCATGACAGAGAAGGGACTTGATTATATTCTTTCTCCTTGACTTTCTGTTTTTTTTAATTTTCAGGTTTTCTATCTTTTTCATAAAAATGTAGAGGAAAATTCAGCGTTTCAGTTGCTACAGTTTATTCTACCATTCAGCCCTCACTCCATGTGTGGCTCTAGTGTAGCTTCACAGGAAGAACTGGAGAGTAGAAGGCAGTAATCCATTAAAAGGGAGGATAATTGTGCATTGTAGTCCCACAAGTAGAATCTGATTTGTAGTTCCACAAATAGAATCTGATTAAAAGGAACCCAACATTCATGTTGTGATCCCAAACAAAACTGAAAGGAAAAGAATGAGAGTGTGACTACATACCTTTAAAATTGGGCCTGATTCTGGCATCGTATCCTGATGTCCTTCCCATCAGTTTATCCAGGAAATCTGAAGGGGACATTGGTTTAGGAGCTGATCGGGCTGCTGCTCCAGTTTCTTTGGAAGCAGCAAGGCTGAGTCAAAAACAAGAAAGCAAACAGAGATTTCATTAGTAGTCCTCCTTCTCTTGCTGTTTTTTTCCCCTCCTTTCACCTTCTGGTTGTGATGGTTTAGGATCTGAATTCTTTGCAGCTAGAAGCCCTGACAAATACTGCTGTGGATTCTTATTGAAGCTGGTCTCTGCTAATTTGTTTGCTCAGACCAAACATTCCTGAACACGGAATCCCAAATGCTACCCAAGATCAAGCCAAATGATAAAGAAGAAAATCCCTCTGCTAATTTTAGGTGCAGACTCCGAGTATCACTTAAATAAAAAATGTGAACTTTAGCATTCGATTCTGGTGGGAAAACACACTTTGAGATTATCTAGGTTTTATGATGGTGCATCAATTACCATGTAATTACATGGCAAATAGCAGAAGAGAGAGCATGCAGCATGTTGACATTTTCATTTCTAGAGTTAGTAGGGTGTGTGAGCTATGACAGCTTCCCTTTGCTTGAATAGGTAGCTTGAACTGAAATTTCCTGCCCAGCATGGGAGGCTTCAGGGAAGGAGGATTTTCCTACATCATTGGTAAGGAAATTTGGCAGCCGTGCTGAGAACAAAGCACCTCCAAGTATTTCATTTCAGGTTGCAACATACAACCATAGAGATCTGATTTAATGTTAGCAATCCTCCCTCCAGGTTTATTCATTAAATATTTATTCACACTGTTTCTATATCACTTCCCAGTCAACAAGGTATCTTGGCATGATGAACAAATAAAAGCAGTGAAAACAGTAAAAACACAAAACTTTAAAAATGTTTCAAATACTAAAGATACACTTTAAATACTATGATACAGGTTGAAATGATTGGGACCAAAAATGTTTTGAATTTTGGATCCCCCCCCCCCCCCAGATGTTGGAATATCTGTCTGTATTTGCATACATGTATCTAATGAGGTATCTTGGAGTTGTGACTCATGAATGCTTCCTTATACACATAGTCCGAAGGTAATTTTATATACAATTTTGAAATTATTTTCCTGTAAGAAACAAAGATTGTATACATTGAACCATCATAAAGCAAAGGTGTCCTGGCCATCCATTTGTTGTTTGCTTTCAAGTCATTTCCAATTTATGGTAACTGTAAGATGAATCAATCATAGAGCATGTTTGGCAAGATTTGTTCACAGAGGGTTTGCCCTTGCTTTTTTCTGAGGCTGAGAGAGTGTGATGTGCCCAAGGTTTTCCAGTGGATTTTCATGGCTGAATAGAGATTTGAAGTCTGATCTCAGATGCTCAAACTACTATGCAATTCTGTCTCTCACTTGGAAATATCATTTTAAAACTGACAATTTCAAATATTAAAGTCTATGTGAAACAGTACAGTTTGGCTGCTGCCAGAAGCTTGAACGAGATTAGGCCCAATTTCCTTGGGTAGGGAATTCCATAGTCTGGATGATGCTACAGAGAAAGCCCTGTCACATGATCATATCAACCTAATTTCATGAAGTGTTGGGATACACTACAGGGCTTCCTCTGATGACTTCAAATTTCAGTTAGGCTCATATGGGAAGGGACGGTCTTTCAGATATTCTGGCCCAAAACCATTTAGGGCTTTGTAGGTCAACACCAGTACCTTGAATTGAGTTCAGAAGTCATTCTTGCTGGACCAGTGTTATATGTTTTGTAACATGAACAACTGACACCAATCTCTTTGCTGTATTTGCAATAGCTGTAGCTTCTGAGCACTTTTCAAGAGTCCCAAGTAGAATGTGTTATAGTAGTCCAATCAGCTAACTAATTGTTAATATGTGAAAGGCACTCAGACTTAAAGTCTTATGAAATCAGTAAATTTGAGATACTTATTTGTTCTTTTCAGTTGTACAAGGCTACTTTCGGATCTGGGCTATAATTTGGAAATTGCACAGGCTGTCTTGAAAGATATACATAACAGACCTGGGTTTTGTAAATATAATTGGCCCGAACCTCCTATCATCCTTCACCATTGGCTGTCTTGGCTAGTACTGGAGAAATTTGCAGTTCAACAACATCTAGTGAGTCATACGTTGCTCAGCTCCAGGAGACAAGTTTAACCAAAGAAGCGTCCTGTCAGGAACAAAGCAATAAAAGTCATGCCCTCATTTTTAGAAGCATGTGGAGCATGAAGAAATCCGGTTGACCTCCACTTGAGTTACTGGCTCAACTTTGAAAAGCTTTATCAATGAGGACTGCCTTTTCTTTCTATATGAGAACAGCACATCATTATGATTAAAAGTGGAAGAGCTAAGTAATGCACTGAGGAACTAAAATTGCATGAGACTTGTATAAATCATTAACAAAGAGCCTATTGTGGAAATGTTTCAGATGATTTTGAATCTCTCTGATGAGTTGTTTTTCCCTATACATTCCTGGCAAATAGAGGCATACATCGATCATAATTTCTCCTGATGCATTATTATGGTAAAATGTGCCGACCTCTGAGCACATCTCAGAAAAGTGTATTGTTACCTGCTAATCCTACGAGGCCTCCTATTATCTCCTTGGGCTGGATGGACGCATCATTTAATCTTCTACCTGTGTGTTCCCATTACTTGAGCTGCCTGACAAGAATAATGGACCAGTGGAGGGTATAGTTGGGAGATCAGATATATAGCTGCAGGCTGTTTAGCCTAAGTCCAGTTTAAAACAGAACTGGAAGAAGTAGCTATGCTATCATCACTGTGTTCCTGGACAGTGCTGAGCTAAACAGGCTGCTGGCTGTGATTGCTGTTGCATGCCTTCAAGTTGTTTTTGAGTGATGGAAACACTAAGGGTTTTCTGGAGCGGAGAGTATGTAACATGCTCAGGATCACCCTGTGGGCTTCAATGGCTCAGCGAGGAATCAAAACCTGGTATCCAGTATGCTTAAACCACTTCACCATGCTAGCTTGCATATTGCATGATTATATATATTACAGCCATTATTTCAAATTGTGTATTGGTTCATATAAGGCAGTCCCCGAGTTACAAACATTCAGCTTACACCCAACTCATAGTTAAGAATGTGGGTGAGATAAAAGGAAGGATGAGATATTTATACCTCTAAAGGAAAATTCACTCCTGAAAGAGTTATCATGGGGAAAAGGTGTCTCCACTGAAGCCTTCTCACCCATCTTTGTTTCCACAACAAGCCAAATTTTCAAAATCAAATTATCACAGGGACAGAAAGTGAGGTGAAGTCTTCTGTACGGGGGGACAGACAGCAAAACAAACACCACAGGGATGTAACCATTCCCTATGCTATCCAAAGCTTAAAAAAACCCAAACCCTTTGGCTACTGTTATACTTAAAAATATGCCTGTTCCAACTTACATGCATATTCGACTTATGAACAGACCTACAGAATGTATCTTGCTGTAACTTTGGGAACTTCCTGTAGATTAGTACATGCACAATTTATGCAGAACTGTTTCCTACTTTGGTGATGTGCAAATGACCACTCTTGCTGGCTAGAGAGCATTTGAAAAGTTAGAGACAGATGCAATTTCCAGAAAGCCCTTAAATATGATGTTCTCAAGAAAGTGTTTGCCCCACTCATGCATTTCCTCTTCCTCTTCTTTACCACCACCATTATCGCTACTGTCTGCTTGCGGAATTTTTAGGCCCAGTCTCCTCTATAGACTCATCAATTACACAGTCATAGAGTTGGAAAGGCCCTCCTACTCAATGCAGGAACTTCAGCAATAGCATCTCCAGCAGCTAGCCATTCAGCCTTTTTTGAATACATGTAGAGAAAGAGATTTCACCACTTCTTTAGGTGATTGGTTTCATTACTGAACAGCTCCTCCTGTCAAGAGGCTCTTTCTAAGGTTCAATCTAAATCTATTCTCCTGTAACTTGAAGCAATTAGACCTGCTTCTAATATCTGGGGAAGTGGAGAACCAATCCTGCACCCTCCTCTCTATGACAGCAGTTTAGATATTTAAAGTACTGTACTGTACAATCATGTTGCTTTTCAGACTTCTCTACAACCTTTCCTCATCATGTTTTATTCTCCATACTTATCATCCTTGTTGTCCTTCTCTGAACTCACTCCACTTTCTATATCCTTCTTAAACTGAAATACACAGAACAGAACACAATACTCCAGGTGAGGCCTGACAAATGCAGAACATAGTGGGACTATTATTTATCTTGTAAACTAAGATTCCAGTAATTCATAGTATTATTAGTGCAAGAAGTATTATTTGCCTTCTTTACTTCAGCATCACTGCTGGCTCAGGTTCAACTTGTATTCAACAATAAACGCAAGATCTTTCACTGCGCATTTGAGTTTTGTGTCCTAGAGATAAAATTTTGTATTTGTCCCTGAATTTCATTCTATTAGTTTCAGCCAATTTTTCTAATTTATCAGGGTCTTTTTGAATGCTGTTCCTATCTTCTAATATGTTAGCTACCCCTACCATTTTTGTATAATCTACAGACTTGATAAGAATTCCCTCTGCCCCATTGTTTAATGAATTATTTAATTCATTGATAAAAATATTGAAGAGCATTGGCCCCAAGACAGAAGCGAGTGGCACTCTGTTCAAGACTTTCCTCAGGTCAGATTTGAAGGACAGCCATTTATGCTTGAACATGGTTTTCCAACCAATTATACATCCCTCTGATGGATTTTCCCATTTATTCAACTCAAAGTATCATGGGGGATTTCATCAAATGTTTTGCTGAAATCCAGAAGTCTATCATCCCAAGAGGAGAGGAGGGAATGCAGTTAGCAACCTCAGAATATGGTGGTATTAATAATTGCATTTTTACTGCCAGGGAGGCAGAGAGGGGTTTGCGAGTCAAGAAAGTATCCAGACCTAGAGGAAACTGTTTGCATTTCTAAGGCTGTATCCCCACTGCAGAATTATAGCAGCTTGACACGACATTAACTGACATGGTCGAATGCTATGGAATTCTGGGATGTGTCACTTTGTGAGATATTTCATAGGATGGAATTATGGCAGTTCAAGTGCTTTCAAACTGCTACAATTCTGCAGTG